TCTCTCTCTCTCTCTCTCTCTCTTCTCTCTCTCTCTCTCTCTCTCTCTCTCTCACTGCCCTCGCGTACAAGAACACATGTTTGTATGGATTACCGTATCGTAACTCCAAGGTCTGGCTGTAACCTATTTCATCCGAGCATCTTGTTTCTTTCTCTTTATTTCCCTTCTTTCCTTCTTTTTTCCCCTTTCACTTATCTTGTTTGTTTATTTGTTTTTTCGCTTGTCTGTTTTGTTTATTTATTTGTTTTATTGCAGAGCAGAGTACCAGGCAGCAACGGGCGAAGGAATGGGAAAGAGAAGGCAAAGGCAGGGCACGCATCATGTCACGGGTGCAAGTCAATCAGTTGCATGTAGACTACAGTAGGTGCCGTAATTCTGTGAAATGGCCCCGTCGTGTGATATGATATGTCGCGAATCGTCGATCATGAACTATGACTCGACCGCTTGTCAAGCGGGGTGGGCCAATTCCACCGGAACCCACCTCCATCACCGCCCTCGACTCGTCGCAGTCTATACCGCCACCATATATGGTGTAACCTACTATAGCAATGAAAGCACCAGAGGCAATGCTCCCTATCGCCGGCTATCAAGCGGAGTTTTCGGGCGAGCTATCCAGACTGTAGTGCCAAAAGAAAGAAAAATCTCCTTTCGCACAAAAAGCGGATGCACCCCATCCCTTATCGGAGAGGTAGGAGGAAATAGCAAAGAATACGTAGTGAGACAAGGTATTGTTTCTCCAATTAAACTCCAGACCCATGAATGTACAAAACAAAGAGGAGAATAGCAAAGATATAGCGGGCAGAAATTAACCCTCCCAGCACGGAATTGAAAAACAGGAAAGAAATATGACAAAATTTTCAAGACAGGAAATAAAGATGCGATATGAGTAGTGATGAGAAATTGCAGGAGTTTCTGATAACACCAGTCTATGGTATGTACTGAGTTACGGTGTTTTATCAGAAACCTCCTAGCACCTGGTAAGGAAGAAAGAATCAACCACTTTAATTCTTCATATCCCAGATTCCCCTAATACCCGGCCCGTCCGCCGTCAAGACTTCTAGGCCTTTAAGTTTTTTCGCCAAAAGCCCTTGTCCCTCGGCTCTTCCAATCGACGGGGGTAGGCTCATCTTCTCGTACTCGCCCACGCCACTGCCCATCTCGCTCGCCGAGTCGGTGTCAATACCCTTCATGCCATCGGGTTCAATATTTACTGCATTGAACTTGGGGATCGGTGGGGGAGACATTGCGCCTTTTGCTCCGCGACCCAAGGCGCTTGGGAAATTCATATGGAGGCTTGTGCTTCGTTTCCTATTGGAGAGAGAGGAAATTGGCATCGGGGCGCAACTCTCGGGCTTCCAGGGACTGAATTTGGGCTCGGGCCATAGGAGCTCGTTCCTCAACTTCTCTTTGCCATCCGGGACCCTATTCGCGAACACCACCCTGATCGACTTGTGCAGGTAGTAGCGGCCCCTACTCGGACTGCAAATGTGCAGATGTATTAGGTAACGCAACGAGTCCTTCTCCTTCTCCCTCTTCATGGCCACTGGAATGTTGCCTGCGAAGTCAGAGAGCAGCGGGTTTCCAACGGAATAGCTTTTCTGCCTGATAAACGTCTTCGATCCCGCCTCCATATCCTTCAGATCATACGGCACCAGGAAAAGTTTCACCGCGGTCTTATTCGGGTTTTTGATAACAATCTGGAGCTGCCCACGCTGCGGGATGCGGTATGCGCCTCCAACACCTGGGGGAGCCTTCGAAGACCTTCCGTTTGCAATATTCAGGGCTGTGTCGAGGTCAACTTGTCCAACATATGGCGAAGGGCTGTCGTAATCGCCAAGGGCATAAAAATAGGCCGGGAACGGAAGAGTGACATGAGTCGGGCACCTCAATGACGGCTTGCACTTTCCGAGACCGAGAACCCCAATCTGCGCAACGAAATTGAGAGGTTTTGACGGGGTAGTCGACATACGGCCGTTGAGTATTGACTCCTCGAATGATCCCACCAGAGAGCCCCCAAACGGCAAATCCGACGTTGAACCCCCAAACCCCGAGAACCGGCGAGCATGACGGGCCGCAAGTGGTGGTGAAGTCGACCGACCATCCCCCCACCCAGCCCCTTTCGGACGACGTAAGGAAGAGGGAGCAGTCGGTGACAGCTGTAGAGAGGAAAGCGACGAGGGTGGGAGGGATACACGTCGACCCTCTCCGCCCGGGAAGGAGTATTCAATGTCGATTGCACCGGCAGCCGTCGAAGCGGACGAGCCCTCATTGCCACTACTGTCGTTGTCGGGGTTTGAAGAGTGAACCAACGGCGACGTCGGAGCTTTCAGGACAAAGTTGGAGGAGAAGGAGAGGCACCTATGCCTTGCCCTAGCCTGGCACAGCTCGGAAGCATAAGGATTGAACGGGGAGGATATGGTAAGGGGAGGCGTCTCACTGTAACCGGTGCTCGGACTGCCCAGAAAGGGTGAAGCGGAAGGGAAGGGAGGGGACGGAGGGTATGTTTGAAAACCCCTCGGCTCATTATTCGTAAAGACACCCTGGTGGAGAGCAGACTGGGGACGATCAGGGTGTTCGTCGATAAAATGTTTTTCCGAAGGGCTGTGGTTAGGGTAATAATTTGAGTGCTGGGAAATTAGCGTTAGAAATCAAACAAGTCAGTAGACAAGGAGCTGAGAAGCATGAAAGATCACTGCACAGTTTTTCTCAAGCACATGTGAGGAAAGGAGCGTAGTAATTACCGATCGGTTAGGGACCCAAGTAGGAGTTTGGCCAGCTTTTATTCTCTCGATAAGCTCGGCTCTATCCGTGACCCCATTCACGGTTGCGGCTGGAGAAGAGGAGGGTGAGGTTGTCGAGTTGAGATCTTTGGTGTGCATTGTCAATTGAGATGTTCGAGGGGGAAGTCCCCTCTCCTCGGGTATTATGGGAGAAGATTGTGGCGGCGAGGGGTGCTCGTTATTGTAAACAAGGGGCATAGGCATGGGGAAGGAGGGGGAGGGTGAACAGCGGTGCAGGCAGTATTTTGAAAGAGGAATAAAGGGCAAGGAAGATCCGGGGTATAGAGCTCCATGAGTGAGAATAAGTAGGAAGGGGAGGAAGGAGGAGGGAAGGGAGAAGGAAGAAGATGTATGGCAGGGTGGTCCTAAGCAGGCGAGAGCACGTCAGGGTAGCTGGCTGTGTAGTTTTAGTTATTGGTGCCATGGTGGGAGAGGTGGTGGTGGTGGTGGTGGTGGTGGTGGTGGTGGTGGGTGGGGGGGGGGGGGGGCAAGTGAGGGAAAGGAAAGGCGCAGAGGGCGGTGGCAGAATGGAATGGGAAGGGGGAAAGAAAAGCTCGTGAATGGAGTAAAGTTTTACAGCTTTTGGTTAATCCTTCCCTCATGACGACAATTACCATGAATATATGGTGGTCCTCGAGTTTAGCAGAGTAGTTACGGTCACAGAGATCCCCCTTCAACAAGTTTAGTCTTGATGGACGGCACACCAGAACCCAAGGACAATAGATTCCGTGCCAATCATGCGTCAGGTAAACCATCGCGAGGAATACGATAGATAACCCGCAGTGTAGTGCCAGGCTTTTCGTGCGATCTTCATACATTGCAGTACCCGTGCAGTAAACAGGCAAGAAGCGCTGACCGCCGTGGCAAAAGATGTCAGAAGCGTTCCAGGCTTCCCTTCGTGCTTGCTGGCTCCACTCGTCGGGCCTGAGTTTTCCACCTCCCTCCCACAAAATAACCCCGCAATTGGAAGGAAAGAGCGGAGAGGAAGAGAGAAGAGAACATTGTACCGTAATAACAAGGAAGAGAGGGCTACCGCACTCGAGTACTCGAGTACTCGTACATGAAGCGTGCCCATCCCCCTTTGCTTTGTCTCGTTTCGACCTCTCCCACTCCCTCCATCCCACCATCACTCTGTTGTCCGCCGGACTTTACCAGTGCCGGCATCCTACAGCATCCTAACCCCAAGCGTCTCACAGCCACCCACTCGCAGATAATCGTGGCACTCGAGTACAGCAATTCAAACGGCAGGATAGGAAACAGTCACCTCTGTTTCTCCTCGCCCTCCTCTTTACCCTTAAAACCATCGAGATCTCTTAGCAGAGTCAGAATCAGAGGACTCTCCGCCCCAATTTTAGCCTTTCTTTCTATAATAGTTATAAACCCCCATATATAATACTGTACCCGTGCGTGGTGCTCGCCGATGCGAGAGAGAATTGCATAATATGCTTTGGATCCATCCCCTCTCCCCCGCTTCTTTTCTACTCCTCCTTTCACCTGTCACTCCTATCTCTCTTCCCCCACCTCCTCTTATGATAACCCCTCCCCATCAGATCTCCCGATCTCTAAATCGACGACGCACGTGATGCGAGAAGGGAGAGAGAGAGACCACACGGGCCACGCAGGCCACACAGTGCCAAAGTGAAAGAAAAAAAAAAGGTAAAAAAGAAAAGGCGAAAAAAAAAGAAAGAACGAAAAAAAGAAAAAAAGCTGATCCCAAAACTCTATCAGACCTGCTGCAGCTCGCAACAGAAAAATAAGGTACCGCCTGCAGGTTGCAGCTCTGAGTGTTATAAGTGCAATAGGATGGCGCTGTGCTATCGCGCAAATACCGGTATTGGTAGAGCAGAGTATAATAAATGTTGCTTTACCTCCTTAAGAAAGAACCGAATCACTCTCCATCAACATCCTACAGTCGCATCCCGCTATCCCAGATCTCGGGAATCCGTATGCCTCCCTGCCCCTCTGTAGGTCCGAGCTTTTCCTTGCAGCAAAACCCGACCTGTTGCCCCGGATCACCCGGTGTACTCGAGTACTATTTGTGCAGGCTTCCAAAAGGGTAGACTTGCACCGTTTCTGGCTCATTCCTGGACCTGAAAAGAGTGCCCTTTCATCCTTGATCCTTTTCTCCTAAACACCGCTGCCTATCCGTACCGTGGGCGAACAAAGGCCAATACGAATGCTCAAGAATCTAGCATTTGGTTGGCTAGTGGCCAGGAAAACAATAATGGTAGGAGCAAGGAGTGAAACATCATCACTTCAACAAAAAAAAAAAAGACCGGCGAGAGTGTGGACTTGATGTGAACTACTTCAAGAACTGAAATAATTGAGTACCAGTAAAATGCCGGGGGGGGGCAACGAACACGGGGGGACAGCGAACACAGGTGGCAGTGGTAGATAGTGGTGGTATGGAAAACTCTGTATCTCTGTGGCTGATAGTGAATGACGAAATGATTAGTTAAGAATAAGTTAGTAAATAGACTTCAAATCGTATTATGAGATTATTACCACAGTCCTTATTCAAACATATAAAACAATACTTTCTTCTATTATGTCTTCACTTTCAGATACCAAGACTGCGAATAAGCTCCCAATGGCAAGTCTGAGAGAATTTACAGCCCAGGTGCATGTAATGGGCAGGGTCTGAGGGTCGGGTAGCCCAAGGCACATCACGACAGGGACAGGCAAGAGTTCGGAGGCGAGGTCTAGGGATGAGGGTACAACCAAAGCGAGTTGTATGAGGTTCGGGGGTCAGGGGTTCAGGGTCAAGGTTCAGAGGTTCCGGAGGATGCGAAGTAGAAGAGAGTGTAATTCCTAGGTACAGGTGTCCGAATAATATCTAAGTTTATTTATACTCGTCGTGCCAAAACATAACTTATGATTGAGCGCCCCCCAGCCAGGATCCACCGATGGGACTGGGGCCCTGCTACCCCTACTAAAAACAGGCAACTAAAAACAAGATACTGATCCTCCATTCCCATACCGTTAACCACTCTAGTGAGCGAGCACCAACACCAAAGCTAAAGTATAAGTCCATCCACAGTTCAGCACCCATCTGCTCCACCTAGCCAGGCCACGGAAATCCTAGCACAATCAATAAATCACTACCACTGGCAGCATTGCTCCAGCCTCGCACCTAAAATCCTCCTAATATCATAACAAAATAAATCCACCAAAATCAACCCCACCAGGTACCCAGGAAAACGTTCCAGTACTGTCCCTTAAAAGGACCATGACAGAGGGGCGGTACAAAGCCAATTTCCCATAAGCAATCAACTGAGGTAGGCCTAACAGCCATACCCCTTGCACCACAATAGCCAACCTGAGATACCCCTAGGGCATTATCGTTATAGGTATCCCAACCTATGTCGAGCCAACCATGTCTACCTCTTCTCCATGTTCCTCCAAGGCCTCAGATTCTTGGGTATCTGGATGGGGGCGAGAAGGGCAAACAGGCGAGTGGGATTCGTATGAGCCATCACAGTTCACACACCTGAGTGTGGCATGGCTATAGGGGCGGCTGCGAAGACAGCAGGTAGCAGTGGGGCAGGAGTGATCCCCAGTAGGGTGAGGGAGGAGGCACTAGCGGCAGGATGAAGGCAGGATGCACTTGATACTATGGTGACCAAACTTATGGCAGTTGGCACACTGAGTGTATTTGTTGAAGAGTAGACGGTGCTCGGTTCGGTAGGTATTGGAGAAGGCAGAGAGGTGTTTGCCAACGAAGGTAGGAGTCTTGGGTCCAGTGATGGAAACAACTATGGTTGAGGCAAGTTTGCCGATACGTGCTAGATCAGAGGTAAGCCACCTAGGCTGCTCGGTAAGAGATAAGCCTGAGTTAAATGTTGAGAGTTTTTGGGCAAGTGATGCCAGAGGGGTGGAGGTGGCAATGCTATGTACCAGAAGCTGGGTGGCAGGTGTGTCAAGGTGGATGGTAGAGGCATCAGGAATGAGGTGCAAAAAGGTACCAACTTTGCTGTCGACAGTGGTTGCTCTAACCATGTCCATCGTAGTGAGGGTAACATGTTCATCCTGGAAGGAGACAGACTGGATGAGAGTGGAGGCCAGGGCCTGGTTGATGCTGTTGCATAGATGTACAGCAGTAGAGGTAAGGGGGGCAGTGTCTCTTTTGATGATGAGTCAATGCTCGCGCATGGTGAGGCACTTTTTCTTGTCAGTAAGGGGCTTAACTGAGGAAGAAGGGGGTTTGGCTGGTTTGGGGCCAGGCTTCATGGGTTTCTGAGAAGGCTTCCTTGCCCTTCTAGCGACGGTAGCCCAAGAAGGGGGAGCTGCCGGGCCAGGAGGTAGGGTATGGGTAAGCGTGGAAGGTGGAGGAGGGACAGAGGGTTGCTCTGTAGCATCAGTAGTAGGAGGTACCGGCGGGGCAGTAGTAGGAGCAGGCTGAGATAGAGTAGAGGCGCAGAGGGTATCCAACTCCTCAGTGAGGACAGTGATGTGCTCAGTTAGCCCATCGGTCGCCTTCCTGTAGTCTTCGTGCAATATTTGCAACATATGGATTAGGATGGAAAAAGATCTTCTAAAGGTGTAAGGTGCTTTGACATGATTTTTTTCTGCCAACTCTTCAAACATCTGCATGAAGGCACTGTTAAGGCTGTCAAAGTCGTCTGCTGAGTATTGTATACTTGTGGTGGTGCCACTGCATGGTCGTTTAAGCGAGAGGGGGCCCTGAGGCCGAAAGATAGGTGGTAGCCGATCCTGCAAAGCCCCGTCAGGCTGTGTAGGAGGTTGCAGAACGAGAGGGGGTAATGATCCCATAATGGAGATGATGAGGAGAAACTTTGACCCAGGTTGGGCTAAAGAAAGATATCCTGGTGGATAAGATAATTCCCTGGCACGTAAAAAAGGGTGTCCGAATTGTATCTAAGTTTATTTATCCTAGGTGCACCAAAACATGGCTTATGATCTAGCTAACATCTCTCGTAACCCCTAAATCATAATAAAATCACTACCCAGGCAAACCGTCTCGCAGCCCTCCTCCCAAACATAAATCCAAAAATCACTACTAACAGGCTCACGGGCGCTCGTGCCCGGGCCGCAAGCGACACCTCAGATTAACGCATCTTTCTGTTCTCACAAACTTATCCATCGCTCACACCACCATCAGCAATTTCGCTCTCCACATACTCAATAAATGAAATTTTCAATCTGTCCCAACAATGTTGAGTATTCCTCCAGTGACCTGCAATGTCAACAAACATGCCATCACAAGAAAAACATTGAGGGCTTTTAATAAACTCATAACTCCTA